ACCGTTATATGGAGTCAACTTTGAGCTCAGAGTCTCGTTGTAGACCCAGCAGTGACAGTTTAAGCAGTACCCGCTGTAGTGAAAGTAGCAGCAGCGACAATTCTGCCGAATGGTTCCACCAAAATAGACGTAACGGACGCAAAAGGATTGTCAAAAGAAGAAAAGGAAATACGAAGAGAAAAAGCATTAAAAAGCAAAATTTGAGGCGTGATTTCATTGTTGGTACAGTTCCAAATCGGAGGGAACTTAAAAAACCGGTACTGGCTTACGTTTCGGAAAACGGTGACGTATTAATAAAAAAGCGTATAAGTGACGAAGATGCAAGGAACTTGCTCAATAAGAATTATAAGATGAATGGCGGTAAAAGGATACAAATAACATCAAGGAAAACTCCAGAAGATCCGTCTAGGGTATTAGTTGTGTCTAGTAGTAACGGAAGGACACGACCCGAGACGAGACGAAACTTAGTTCTAAGGAACGGAGTTTCAAGTCACGTTCTAGGAGAAGGGACAAAGCAGCTGGTTTTTAAACCATCAGACTTCAAGAAAATTTCCAATTTGTCCGTGTCATTTCAAGTAGTTTAATACATACTACGAAAAGTTTATCTAATTTTTATGGAGAAGATACACCAGTAGAAAACATCAATCAATATACCTATACAATATTAAGCGATATGGTAGATGGAAGTCGTGTGTCACATAAAAAGTAGTTGTCAAGGGCGTCGCCAAGGGGGGGCAGGGGGACAGGGGGGGGGGGCAGTTGCTCCCCCTAGAGATCAAATGTAGCTTCCTTACCTATTATATTGCCTCATCGACCCACCCATAGTCATAAGCTGGCGACGCTCTTAGTAGTTGTGCCTTCAACATAGGGTGTGTTCCGAAACTTAAGCCAGTACGCTGGCCAGCGGTAATGACGTCAAGATTTCGACGCCATATTGCACTGGTGTGCGCCATATTATGCTAGTGACAATACTGTGACATATAATAGCTGGGTTTATACGCTGTTAGTGAAGGTCTTATTTGTATTAAATTGATAATAATGGAATCTCAACAAACAGAAAAATTAGTTTTGATCGATGAAGGGAATAACAAGATTTACACACTTTATTATAATTTTAGGAGCATGGACGTTGCACACTAACACGAGACTGCTTGAATATTGCGCCAGTTCATGACGTCACCGCGCTGATCAGTGTATTTGGAAATTTTGGAACGAATCAACAGTATGGCGTCGATTCTTGACGTCATTAGCACTGGCAGTGTTGCCAGGTCTCCAGATTTTACAGGAGATCTCCTGTTTTTCTGAATTTTCTCCTGTTCTACTGTTTTTCTTTTGTAAATTGCATGTTGAGTTGCAATTTCGGCCATTAATAAGCAAAGTTATTAATTTTAACATAAATGTTTTTGTCTAAAAAAAACAAGCTTTAAGGGGCGGTAGAGCCATAGAAACACATTCGTTACTGGTCTTTATCTTGATTTGATTATTTGATTTACCAATTCTAGGGGGGGGGGGGGGGGGGTGCAAGTTACGCAATGTTATTGATTATTATTATTATACAGATTGAGTTTTTATATTATTGACATTTATGTTTCTGTTATTGGTCAGAGTATTCTATTTTTTATCAATTTCTTTGTTATGAATGTGCAAAAATTTGTACTTCCAACACAATATAATATTGTTAAGGAGTAAATAATTGAAAAATGAGTTATTCCATATAGAACTCAGTACGAACCAGTTGGGCCTGGTCATCAAGATCTATTTTATGATTAGTTTTAATTTTGCAGTTTACGAAGGCAACCGAACTGACAGTCCACCTGATTTGATGAGTGATATTTATAATTATCATCATCAGCCTACTAATGTCCCCACTGCTGGGGCACAGGCCTTCCCTTTGGATGGAATAGGGAGATTGGGCCATGCCCACCACGCAGGCCCAGTGCGGATTGGCGGGTGCTAACGACTGCAGATGCAGCCGGGACCAACGGCTTAACGTGCCTTCCGAAGAACGGAGGAGCTCAAGATAGTAATTTTTTTGGTCACCCATCCAATGACCGACCACTGCGAAAGTTGCTTAACTTCAACGATCGCAGCCGAACGCGCTAACCACCTGCGCCATCGAGCTCCTCCTCTTTATAATTATATAAATAAGCAATTCCCACCCAGTGTAGAATCTGTGAGAAGAAATAGCAGAATGATTGATTACCTACTTCACTATATACCTTCATAGGTTTTTCCGAAAATTCTTAGCTACAGAATAAATACAAATCTCCAATAGGGCCGTGGTAGCATAATGGTCAGTGCATTTGCCCGGATAGCGAAGGGTGCGGGTTCGAGTCCCGCCTGATGCCTGGTCCGCGTGGAATTATTTCTACGAGTATCTAGAAGTTAAATGCTTTAAAAACATCTAGCACTTAAATGCTTAAAAAAAATAAAAAAATATATAAATACAATATCCATTTTTCCTGTTTTTTTTTGAATTGACAGCAAATTTTAGTACAAATCTCCTTGGTGAAAAGCATTGGCCACCTACGTGTAGTATTTTTAAAATATTTTTATAGATTTTCTGTCTCGTATTTATTTTTTAACAACACCCAGAATAGGTAAAGAAATTAAAAAAAACAATTGACATATTGCTGGAATCTTTCTATTTCTATGCTATGATAATATTATATGATAGTAAATGAGAGACCTTTTAGAAATCTCATGAAAATTTTCCAACGTGCCTTTGGGAAGCCTACTCTTGCGGTACTTTTGCAATAATAACTATTTGGTTTCGTGAATTGAAACAAAAGAAAAATGCTTCGTGGGCGAAATTCAACGCTGCAGACAAGATCGTCGAAGACTTGGCGGTTATTTTTCGATCTCTCGCAAATAGTTTTCATATGTTCTGAAAGCTGGTTTACCTGAATGCATAAGTGTATAAGGTGTTGGAGGAGAATATGCCGAAAAGCTCTAAATTTTTGTTTATGTTATTAGCCATCGAATGTTGACTTTTTGCTGCCTCGCGTCGCGTGGCTGTTCGCTCTGTGTGGACGCACCTATTTCCTATTTTTGGAGTTTATTGGAGTTTACTCCTTAAAAATCGATTTGCATATATAAGGGGCCCGGTATGAGAAAAATGATGCTTTCTACTGAACAAATGACCTCGTTACGTTTTTGTGCGCAACCTCATCTGCGCACCTTTCACTTTTAGCCATGGCAACGGATAAAAACATTAAGTTGTCACAAATGTCAATAAAATAAATAAACTAAAAATTGATAAAATCGGAGCAAAATTAATGAAAACAAATAAATAACAGAATATAGAGAAATGCCGGTAAGTGTCCAGCACTCTGGAATAGTGATTTTCAGTACAGATGGAATTATAATTCATATTTACAAAATGATGACTAGTGTGTGATATTTTTGAAATTGTGTGTTTCCAGAAATACATAATAAAATATATGATGAATATCGCTGATGTTAGATGATAAAATGTGTGACATGGAACCTATGATAACTATAATAGTCGAAACCTTGGGACGATTCCTGAGGTATCTCTCTCTACTTGTAACCGACTTCTTCGGACTTGATTTTGTTTTGTCTCTGTTCAAAGACAATCGATTTTAGAGTGTAAACTCCGGTCCTGCGTCGGAGCTGACACACACAATTTTTTAATTCCACTAAGGAACTATTTTTGGAACAGACCACGTACTTATAGGTATGAAAATTATCAAGGTTCTGGGATTAGAAAACAATATATCAATAATAAATTATATTTGTACCTTCTTTGTATAAAATAAGTCTTTTTATACTTAAACTTTTAACAATAAACGATCCACCAAATTTAACTTAAAAACTTGTAAAGCAAATGTTACTAGAAAAAAACTACGTGGACCAGGCTACAAACGGGACAGCTTAAGGAGGGCTAGAAAGAATTCGAACCGGTCGTCAGGGCCGCGGTAGCATAATGGCCAGTGCATTCGCCTGGATAGCGAAGGGTGCGGGTTCGTGTCCCGTCTGCTGCCTGGTCCGCGTGGAAATTTATGGGCTAACATTTTCTTTAGATTAAAACATCGAAATCGAAACCTTACATGTTCAAAATATAAAAAAAATTAAATCTTCTTCTTTATATAAAATAAGTCTTTTTATACTTAAACTATTAGCAATAAACGTTCCACCATTTATAACTTATCCATTTATAACCCTGTTCCATTGAAACTATCGAATAAGTATAAGTAATTATTATAATTTTGTTTATTTCATTCATACACACCCATGCATGCAATTCAGGTACACATTTTACTTAACAGATTAGAATGATATATCACAGACCATTTCTACTTGGTTATTTCAATATTATTAAAATATGGCATAAATATTTATTTGTCTACAAAGACTTTGAGCTATTGCTATAGGTTATAGGTATTCTCTATAAAGATTGTTAAAAATGCAATCGACGACCTCCATGGCCGAGTGATTTGTACACCGGGTTTCATGGTGTCGCCTACTCGATAGGTTCCGGGTTCGAATCCCGGTGGATGAATACGAGCATTGGTACTCCAGTCATGGATGTTTAATATATATTTCTATATAAATATAGTTATATATGTATCAGTATATGTTCGTATATATTCTATCCTTTATCCATAACACAAGCTTACAGTGCTTACTTTGGGGCTAGGCTAATTGATGTGAGTGTTATATTTATTTATTTACATTTAACCTTGGCACTGAACCTTACTAAAATCGAAGAGAAATCGTTGTATTTCCGTAAAAAAATCTATGAAAATAATCTCATACAATCAATACAAAACTATGGCAAGATCGCTTCTCTTATTATTGTCCTTTCATATAATTAAATGCTTAAAAATTCTGTTATTAGCTATTCCGTTATGTTCGTTTCCACATTTATTATTTTCAATGGGAAAATGAAAAAAAAAGAAACCGAAAACTGATGCCAATTCTGGCATGAATCTCTAAACTTAAAACTAAATTTAACATCAGTCTCTCCTTTTCATTCTGTATAGAGAATGACAAGGATATACTGCTGTCAAATTTAAGTTTAGGTTTAGAGAATCATGCTAGAATCGACACCATTGAGAACATTGACAGACGAACTTCTTAATGGAATGGCCTCCTTAAGACGAACTTCTTATTGGAATGGCCTCCTTAAGACGAACTTCTTATTGGAATGGCCTCCTTAAAGGAGTATTTCATTAAAAAAAGGGATAATGGTCGAGTCTCGCTTCGCGACTGCCACGACCGACTTGAAAAAAGTATTCATTTCATTCGCAAATTCAACAGTTGTTGTCAAAGATTTTTATCGTAATGACAGCAGAGGTACAGCAGCAGGCATCACATTTGCTTTGCTACCCTCAGGTTCTGATTGGAATATTATTGATCTAGAGTAAATCCAGTTGGACAGAAACAGATGGATGCTGTAGCCCACTAGGAAGAATCCTATGAAGATGATCAGAGCCACGATGGTCCACATGGTGTATGGTACCGTCAAGTATAGCAATTTCAGGTTGTGTTTGCTCTCGGCGTTCAACTCGGGTTGTGCCTGAAACAAACAATTGAATTTTGAATGAAATTCAAAGAAAGAGTCTTTAATTTCGAAACCTATATAAGGTTAATAATAGGGTAATTGACAAGTTTTAGGAATCGATCTCACGTCATTGACTAATGTTTATGGAGTCCGTAAATAGTGGATATTCATCATTCTGTTGTGTATTTCACTAAAAATAACCAAATCAAAAACTCCATTTTCAAGTTGCCGCGAAAACGTTTCTGGCGTCTTACTAGTCGGTGACGTCACACGACTGTTATTAAAACGTCAAACGATACAATGTAATGTCACTTTAACCGGAAGTTTACTTGCGTCTGATGTCGTTTTAGGCTCCGCCAATCCCAAGCGTTTTGGGTCACGTGACAATAGATAAGAAAACTATTATCTTTTTCGTGGGTTTTTAGTAAAATTATGAATATTTTTTTTGTAAAAATAGTAAAAACCCCTGCCAATATTCATTCTAACACAGATGCTAACAATTGGCACTTTATTTTTAATACTGTCAAATACCCTATTATTCTTCAATGTACTAATAAGTAATCTTAAAACACGTACCAAAATTATTTTATATAATTTATAAAATAATTTTGGTACGTGATTTAAGATCTCGATGAAGGACCAGGATCTTTTGTCGTGAAAATTAAATTTAAAGAGGCAAAATTAGAAGATAAAAGCCGATTGTCGGAGAACAATTCTACATTGACGGTAATAATTCCACATTGACCAAGTTGCCGGTAGAGTATGTGCGGAAACAGAATGAGATTTAGATTGGAGGGCGCTGTAGTGTTTTTCTACCGTATTTGTAAGGTTTTACTCCTTTTAGACATGATTAAATACAAAAAACCGCAAGAAATCACAACAACAAACAAATCCGTATCAATACAAAACTTTGACGTTTTACAGATTGCTGGGTTTGATTGCCAAATAAAAATCTTAATGTTAGTTCGGTTTTTCGCCACGCCCATTCCCTTTCCGCACAGACTGTAATACCTTATTCAACAATAAGATTTGTCAGACACTGTGCTTCTCCAGCTTTGTGATATTTGGTTAAGTTCCGGTGGAGTCAATGAAAGAAGTAAGTTTCGCCTGCCTAAGCATAGAATCAGGACATTGTTCAAAATAAAAAGGAAAAATTCATCATCATCATGAATTATGTCCCCACTGCTGGGGCACAGGCCTTCCCTTTGGATGGAATAGGAAGATTGGGCCATGACCCACCGCACTGGGGCGGATTGGTGGGTGCTAACGACTGCAGATGCAGCCGGGACCAACGGCTTAACGTGCCTTCCGAAGCACGGAGGAGCTCGATATAGTAATTTTTGGTCACCCATCCAATGACCGACCACTGCGAAAGTTGCTTAACTTCAACGATCGCAGCCGAACGCGGTAACCACTTGCGCCATCGAGCTCCTCAACCATTAAAAAGGAAAAATTACCATTTTGAAATGACAAACAGGCACCACCATGTCGGAGAAGCGGCCAGCCTCCTTGTTGAAGTTAACGGATTTCACCACCACGTTCACTTGTACTGAGAAGGTAGTCTTCAACACCATGCCCAGTTTCTAAAAAAAAGTAACTTCGTTTTTAAATCACGCTTAAATTTAGTTATGCTTTCGTTATAGATATACTTCCAGGTTTCATGTTTACAAGACTTCTTAACTAAATAATATTAATAATATGGTTTTGGTGTAAAAGTGTATATAATTAGGACAGTGTGGTCCTAAGGCTATAAGGTTTTTTAAGGAAATATCAAAAAGGTTAGTCATCATCACTGGAGACCGAAGAGCTGGCAGCTACCTCGGACAAAGAATTAGTCTAGCTATTCAAAGGGGGAACGCTGCCAGTATCTTCGGAACCTTGCCTAAAGGGACTCCTTTTAATATTTTAGTTATAATATAATATTTTTTAAGGTTTTTAGTTTTAGGTTCATTGTTCCTGTATATATTATTAGGACAGTTCTATATTAGGATGACCTGATGATTTAAGCCACCTGGCACCTACAGACGATTGCGATCCCATTGCACAAGCTCCCTGGATGTTGATTGATATTTGATATACATATCTCCACAAGACTTCAACTCTCTAGTGGTAATAGTCTCCAAGCAAAACCGGGGACGGACAGACAGACGGACATGACGAAACTATAAGGGTTCCCTGTCTAAAAATGGACTTACAGGTTCAATGATGACTACGCTGCCGTGTTTTGTCTCGTCAGGTTTGATTCCATCGATGCGATCGTACAGTGAAGAGTTGGCATACAGGAAATGAGCGTTGGACAACGCCAGTGGTAAATCTGAAATTATATAATGAAGAATAGTTGAAGATCAGTTTTTTCTTATCATTTACTGCAAACTATGTTTATCAAATGACGCTTTAATAATGACTGGTTAACTGTAACGATATGGTAATGTTTGTCATGTCAATAAGAAATATACTAAAGAAAAAGTCCCGACTGCTGCCTGGACCGCGTGGAAATTTTTGGGAATATTTTCTTTACATTTAAACATCTAGCAGTTAAATATTTGTAAATATTCGCTGCCATGTTTATTTGATTTGGGTGATTGTTGTTTCGAAAACAAGCCCAATAATGACAACGTACATCATCAATGTATATTCTACATATGATGAATTTAATTGCAGATAAAGGAGAGTTAATACGAGGGCTACAGATTGAATTTGAACATCACCTCTATTTGCACTCTTAAGACAGCAGTTTATTTCTCTGTAATGTTGCATGTATATTTAACATTTTTGCCACTCACTTGCTTTCTGGGCACTATTGTGTCCGAGGCCAAAAATCCATTTTGCTCCTTGGACACCATAGTGTCCAACAGCTGACCCGCTAAAAATATGGTTATCACGCTTTAACTCATGCTCGAATCCATATTCACGTTCTGTGTCAGATGTTACATATTCCTATCAGAGCCCACGACTGTTCATACGAACTTCACTTTGTACGAGAGCTCAAACTTTAGTTCACTCGGGCGTCATCAGTGCAACAATTGTGAATTGATTTGTGTTTCGTAGTTAATTGAGTTTAAGAGAAAAATATGAGTAAATATCAATACAGTATCATATTAGTACAGTATCATATTAGTACAGTGAAAAATAAGTACGATAGGAATACTTCCGTAGTTTATACATTTTTATCATTATAATACAAAATATTCACTTTGCGATGCTTAGAAGTGTAAATATAAAAAAATATTTCGTATTTCACTCTTTTATTCATATCACCGTAGAGCTACATTACTAAACTGAACAAAAAATACAACTTAAAGCCACTTGAAACGATGTTAGCCCTTAAAATAGATTTTTATTGCATCCGCCCGGAGTGTGCTAATGTAGGTAATCAGACGTGAGCAATTGACTACTTGATCGGGGCCCGCCGCTGAACAAGTTACACTATTAGGCACTTCGCGCAAAGCAAGTTGGCGGAATGGGAAATATGCGATGGAGTTATCTGCCGGGTTATCTAAAGGAAAACATACCATAAAAGCACGGTGACAAGTCAGATACTCCATCGATGCAGATCCCCCTGCTGCACAGACATTCTGTTTGATTGTTGATGCTGAAAGTGTCTTTTCTGATCCTGTAGGTGAGGCCCTGGACACCGTCCTGTAAACTCTGGACACCCAAGTACTCTAGGGGTAGGAAGCGGCAGAGCACATTCCTGAAGATCTTCAGGGGAGTTCCCGCGGGAAAGTCAATGGGATAACCGATGCCCTCGTATGCATCGGTGAAGGCGTTGCATGACGACCTGTTAATAGAAAAATCAATATCATTGCTCAATATGGTGTTAGACTTAATTTTAGTACAGGGTACTTTTGTAATGCCAATAAATTAAATTAAATAAATATTATCAATACCCACACCAATTAATAATATCTATAAGTAACTTCAAGGAGCTCAATGGCGCAAGTGGTTAGCGCGCTGGGCTGAGATCGTTGAAGTTAAGCAACTTTCGCAGTGGTCGGTCATTGGATGGGTGATCAAAAATTTACTATCTCGAGCTCCTCCGTGCTTCGGAAGGCACGTTTAGCCGTTGGTCCCGGCTGCATCTGCAGTTGTTAGCACCCACCAATCCGCACTGGGCCCGCGTGGTGAGTCATGGCCCAATCTCCCTATTCCATCCATAGGGAAGGCCTGTGCCCCAGCAGTGGGGATATTAATAGGCTGATGATGATGACAAGTAACTTGGAAGTGTAAAAAATATCCTGTTAAGGTTTCCGAGACTCAATAAGGAGAACAGTCGCCTAGACAAAGCTAGCTTAGGTACAGATCCCAGACTTGATAAATTGATTATAACAAGAATATTCCCATAAAATTTCTAGAAATGCTGTTTCTTACACTTTTAGACTTTGATTTCCATAAAATTTTGGCAGGTGGGGATAGAGTAATGTGTAAGTGATTCTCCTGGTATCGCAGATCTACATGGGCACTTGTCATTAAACTGTGCATAAGCTTGCTTGTCCACTGTTTAAATAGAGAAAAATTACCTTTGATTGGGTTCTTCGTATCCCCAAGCTTTTAGACCCGACAAGCCGTTCATAGATTTGATTTTGAATCTGTTGTCGTTTTCAGTTGCAACCTTAAGGTCGTAGTCCACTTTGTTGTCGTACAGCTGGAGATAATTAATGGAAGCGTTATTTAAACATGATTTCATTTAAAATAGCATAATAGAGGAGAGTAATGAAGTAATTTAATGACGACAAAGGAAAATGGCTGTAAGGCTCGTTGAAGTTATAGTCAAAAAAAATATTGCAAGAATACACATTGCAATGGGATTCCAGAATCTGGCACTGAACATGTTTTTCGATACGACTAGTAGGTCCACAGGAACTGCCTACTAAATGTTGGGTCAGGAGTCAACTTACCCTGTCCATGATGCCCAGGGTGTTGAAGCTAATCCATCCCGGGAGCACGGTGTTCCCCAGCCTGATGAGGGGTTCATCGTACCCCCAGAGGAACTCCTCGGCCGTCTGCTGAACGATGGGCCGCGAGTTGAGGTGGGTTAGCAGCAGGTTGAACCCAAGTTGGGTGAAATAAGGGTAAGATGTTAACATCGACGACATGCTCTGGAAGTTAAAATCACTGATTAAATAGGATTTCATCCCACTTCCACCAACATTCTTAAATCATCAATCAGCTAAATGCATATCACAGATTCTGAAACTTTTATCCCACAAACTGTATTTCTCTGTCGAATGAGCTGCCGTCAGAATGTTTCAATTGTGGGTTGTTCAACGATAGAACATTTTAACTACAAATGATTCGCCGCCAATGCGATTCATTCATAAGCGAATTGACGTCAGTACCTTTCCACTACGAATGCTTCGTTGACAAAACAATTTATTCTTGAGTGAATGGACGACAGTATCTTTTGCCAAAGAAGGATTCGAAGTCAAAGCTTATTTAGCTGCAGTCGCTAGCAAAAAGCAATCCCCAATAGCCCGGGTCGTGAGAGTCATGACCGGAGAACACGGAAGCGGTATTCTATGATCATGACCCAATCTTCCTAGTCCACCCAAAAAGAAGATCTAGTGCCGTCTTTGACCTATTGGAGGCCCTGGGCATATTAGGATAATGGGCCCCTATGACTTTCGTTTGGTGATTTAACAGGAACTAGGGACTTTGTATTTGATCTGAGGGGGCCCCCTATCGTTCGCGGGGCCCTGAGCACTTGCCCAAAGTGCCCACTGGGAAAGCGAGTCTAAGAAGACCTGTGCCTCAGCAGTAGGTGCATTAATTGCCTGATGATGTTGATTATTTAAACGGTTGAACTAACCAACATGGCGACGTTGGGCATGTTGACCTGGACATCCGCGGGGTCGCCGATGGACTCTTCAGGCAGGAACTTGACCCTGGTCCGGGGGGTGTACCTCACATCTCGCGCCACATCGTCTATCTCCAAGTTCTCGTTGGAGCGCTGTTCTCTATGAAGGCAACAGTTGTGTTTTTCAATATGATTGAATAGCAGCTGCGAAGTTAGCGGCGAGCGGAACTATGCGCAGGTTTAGTAACTGCATCGACACCCCGTGTGCACCTACATCACCTTAGGACATAGTGCTTCTTGTGATTTGATATTTGATGGGTATTCAATGGGTATTAGTCAGTTTTTGTTACAGTAATATGGTACATATCTAATGCCGCTTCCTAAATACTAAATATAAAATTTATTGTAACTATATATCTATATCCTAAATAATGTAATAGAAGGTGACTTCAGAAGTATCTCTGAAGTCATTTTTCAACTTGACGACTCTGTATATATCAATACAGCCCGTAAAAAGCAGCCCTTGCTGAGTTTCTTGCCGGTTCTTCTCAGTACAAGGTCTCCCACCGTAGTTTTGAGAACCGATGGCGTAGCTTCTTGACCTTCACAAGTGCTTTGTAACAGCCTAGACTGAATAAATGACATTTCATTTCATTTCATTTCACCCTTGACCGCGACTAGCGCTAACTTAAATCGTGATCGTACTATACTGCAATATTCATAGGCATTACCTAGCGAATATTCTTTACATAGCGTAATAAGTTATGGCCCAATCTCCCTATTCCATCCATAGGGAAGGCCTGTGCCCCAGCAGTGGGGACATTAATAGGCTGATGACGATGACGATGACGATGACGATGACGATGACGATGACGTTGACGATGAATATGAAGTTGACGATGAAGATGAAGATGACGATGCCGATGACGTTGACGATGAATATGAAGTTGACGATGAAGATGAAGATGACGATGCCGATGACGATGACGATGACGATGACGATGACGATGACGATGACGATGACGATGACGATGACGATGAAGATGACGATGACGATGACGATGACGATGACGATGACGATGACGATGACGATGACGATGACGATGACGATGACGATGACGATGACGATGACGATGACGATGACGATGACGATGACGATGACGATGACGATGACGATGACGATGACGATGACGATGACGATGACGATGACGATGACGATGACGATGACGATGACGATGACGATGACGATGACGATGACGATGACGATGACGATGACGATGACGATGACGATAACGATGACGATGAATGTGACGATGACGATGACGACAACGATGATGATGATGATGATGTAATAAGTTAAAAAGTTATCACTTCAAAAACTTGTGACACTTCTGTCCGGCGTAGTGGTGTGGCAATTGGATTAAAGGTTTTAGTTTATTATTCTCTCTTTATTGCATCAAACAGAAAGTTAAATACACAGTTGTTTAAATTATTAAATGAATTATTTGTTTCAATTTTAACAAAAGCAACACGATATTTACTTCTCATTCTATTTAAATATGCTGTTCACAAATGTTAGTATTGGGGGTTGAAAATATATTTTTATAACATAAAATTTAAAAAAAAACATCGCAACATACGTCACAATTTCTTGTTTGCGAAAATAAAATCCGCATTTGTGTTAATGAACGGAAACTTTTTTTTTGTTCACTATCCTTCATTAGAAAGGATATTTATACCGTACTGCTTTGGAACATACGAATTACAACCGTATTCTCTTTATAATAATACTATTATACCTGGCTTCGCTCGGGAGTTCATATGAGATTACGTGGTAATTGATAAAAAAAATAAAATATGACATAAAAAGTGAAAAAATATTGAAAACATTTTCTCATTATTTACACTACTTGTTTATAAACAACATTTTTCATTTTATTGTCCGGGGTATATACGAGTATATATATTTCGAATTTCCTACTCTTGAGCAAGCTACATATAGCTGACCGTGACAGAACAGGATTCTTTGAGGTTGATGCCACAATATTTTAAAGTTTGCCCTTGCGCTTTATTAATTGTAAAACTAAAGGGTAATTTAATTGGAAACTGCAATCCTTTAAATTGAAATGGCAATTCAGAAGAGATCAGTGGTATTCTATTTTCTCACACCTTATTGAAGTTCAAATACTGGACAACAGATGGCGCCACTACACTTAATTTCCAAGTTGAAGTGTTGAAAAAGCCCTTGTATCTTTAAAAACACGCCCTTTAGGTTCAAAAGGGAACTTTCTTGTTCGAGGGGGGATAAAAGGTCCCTTTACCGTGCCAGGACTCCTTTTTAAGATTTATCGGCACGCACATTTTATCAACTTAGTTTTATTAAAATAGATAATGATATAGGTAGGTACGTCTGTTTATAAAATGATTAATACTATAAGTTAGGTTAACTATCATTTCATCGTGTCAAGGATTATAGTGGTTCTTTTTTTAATGTAAAATATGTTAAGTTTGTTAGATTAGAAGACGATTAATTCAAAAACAAGATTCTTAAAAACTGGTTGCAGCATGTCGTCTGTCTGACGTCACTATCACGCCATATCACAAGTTGAAGGTGATAATGATGAATAAGTTATAAAAAATCTATGACGTTTGTTTTTCATACTGTTATTAAATTTACATATCTACGGCTAATATGTATTTTTTTTTTTATACGGGGCCCGGCAGTACTTTACGCCTGCTATAAATTATATTTAATAAATATACCTACATAATATTAAACCTCAATAAATAATATAACTGAGGAGCTCGATGGCGCAAGTGGTTAGCGCGTTCAGCTGCGATCGTTGCTTAAACTTTCGCAGTGGTCGGTCATTGGATGGGTGACCAAAAATCTTCTATCTCGAGTTCCTACGTGCTTCGGAAGGCCCGTTAAGCCGTTGGTCCCGGTTGCATCTGCAGTCCGCATTAGCACCCGCCAATCCGCATTGGGCCCGCGTGGTGGGTCCAATCCCTATTTCATCCATAGGGAAGGCCTGTGCCCCAGCAGTGGGGACATTAATAGGCTGATGATGATGATGATGAAATAAAATAAAAAAGTACTTTACAATACTTTCGTAGTGGTTGGGTCTAAAATGTCTGTGCAGAAATGGGTTGAAATTTTTCATGTGTGCTCTATTACATTAACCTCAAAAAAAAAACTCCATACAAGAATGTAAATTATGACAATCTTAAAAATATGATGACGCATCTGTTAAATTGCGGTACCAATAATTCGTTTGTTTCTTAACGAATACCGATCTCTAGAGAGGTTACCGTCTTGTCATCGATGACAGATGGTTGACGTACTTGCTCGGCGGATGTTATTTTTAAAACAAGTATCATCTTTGTGATTGTGAATTATTTTGTGCAGCAGCAATGGACAAGAAATCTGCAAAATTTTCCCACTAGGGGCGCTTTAATCGCTTGACCCAAAACTTCTATCAAAAACATACCTATTAGCTTATATTAATTTTAAAGATTTTTATTAAACAAATTACAAATGCCGCGTTGTGCAATTCCTGGTTGTTGTGAGAAAACTGCATGCTTCCCGACTAAAATATAATTTTATATGTTGCTTTGAAAGGGGTAGGAGAGGGGGTAAAACTGAGCTGCTGTTTACACCATGGTATGTATCTGGGACAGGTAATTGTATCTGGATGTCTTCATTTTAATCAGAAAAAACTGCACCAAAATTAAAATTGCGGTCAAGTCTGTAAAAAAACCCAATGTTAAACTTCCCATTTTAGCCAGAGGTAACCTAACGCTATGTGATATCTGACTGATGCAAAAATAAGATAGATTTGACTAATGAGCCCGCTAAAAGTTACTGTGATCCATGAACTATTAAAATAATCATGAAAAATGCATCTATGTACCGAGAATGAGTATTCCAGCATAATAATAGAAGAAGTGCCATTCTACTAGATCAGCTTTTCTGCCTTGCACAGATGCTCCTCTCCTTTTCAAGTCTGTTTTCAGCTGTATTACTGACCATGTTGAATACACTTTTACCACTTATTTAATATTTTTAACAACAAATAAACACGTTTTAAATTTGACAGCTGCAATATTCGGCTGTGGTTTGGGTCAAGCATTTGCAGCGCCATCTATGTCGAGCTTTGCGTATACTTCTCCATTGGTTAAAACCATCAAGAAGTGAATTCAAATCACAATGCTGTATATTTCATTGAAGTGACATCTCTTCGCCCGCCAATCCACGCCTTTATCAAACTTGAATAACCCTACTGATTTCGGCCATGTTCCTACAAATATAACTGCGTGAAAAGGAGATTGCTCAAATTGGCCCAAATGCACAAAAAATATTGACATACACGGTAATTCTTGGCGTAATTTATAATTTAACTTACAGCTATTAGATTTCAACGGACACCTTTGTATAATATATTTACTTTAAAAAGGACTTTTCATTTTACCGGTTTGGAAAACATACGAATTCACAATCATCACACAGTTTCTGTCACAGAGTACCTTATTATAACCGGAAATGACACCTGATTTTAAAAGTTACTCTTATGCATTAACTTTAAAAACAGGCAACTATCTGTTAATCTACATGCTCTATATACCTGAATCTAATCCATAATTTCGGTACTTGGCTTGATTTCCCTAGTTTACTATTATAACTTATTTGTTTTTTATTATTTTAATATGTTCAGTGTATATGGTTTATAGAAGTTCTCAGGGGTGTCCGTCAATAATATTCGTTTCTACAGTAATTTATATATAATTTCGAATCTAGGAAACAATTTTTCATGATTATTGGTTTTTAGGCCAAACATGTATGGAAGCTGAGCAATCTCCTTTCAGTGCCATCGCTTCAAAGGTTTGAGCTGTAACTGTGTTAAAACGAGGTTCACCAATCAAGAAAAGAGATTTTTTTTTAAATATTAGTGAATAAAATTGTATTTAGTGTGGTGGAACCATTTGTATGCGAGACCGCCTCGCACTTGACCGTTTTTAATGTAACATAACAAGTTTTGAGCTAAACACACTATGCGAGTGAATTAATTAATGAACGTAGCTTTTGACATGTCGTGGTTACTCTTCTACTAAATAAGTTGATTTAATAAATTCTTGGTCAAGGTTTTAAGTTTTTTAGAAATAACGCGCATTTATCAATTTTAAATGTACTTTCATAAGTCTTGTTTTTTCTTATACATTTATTTCATCATGAACAAGTTTTAACAGAATTTTACACAATAATATCCTATTCCAATGGTACGTAAATGTTTCAACGGTACCTAGTTCAAAATTCAGGGAATTACAGTAAAACTGAGGAGCACATGGCGCAAGTGGTAAGCGTGTTCGGCTGCGATCGTTGAAGTTAAGCAACTTTCGCAGTGGTCGGTCATTGGATGGGTGACCAAAAATTTTTCATCTCGAGCTCCTCGACATGCTGAGTTGGGACCAATTTGAGACAAAAAAAAAATATGTGTGTTTTGTTCTGTTTGTTGTGTGTATGTTGTCTCAAATAAATTTATTTTTCTTTCTTTCTTTCTTTCTCCTCCGTGCTTCGGAAGGCACGGTTAGCCGTTGGTCCCGGCTTCATCTACAGTCGTTAGCACCCGCCAATCCGTAATTGCCCGCGTGGTGGGTTTTTTTTTTTCTATTTTGGTTTTACGGCACTGGGTTAGAGCCCTTTTCGCGTGGTGGGTCGTGGCTAGTATTGCCAGGTCCGATTTGTTTCAAATCGGTACATGAGCAGTTGCAGATCGGGACAGTATACAAAAACAAGGGGTTTTAAGTCTGGGTTTAATTTATTGCGTTTTAAACTACTAGTGCAAGTATAGTATTGTGGCGGCGACATCTATATGCCCCACATATAGACAACGGATGGAGGAAATCATTACTCACCATCCTCAAGAGATGGCGTTACCTGCACTGTGATCAATAATAGTATGGAAGCCTACATCGCGCAAATGAAATTCGGAAGCTAACTCTTCATATATACGATGCCCGACCAACATCAGTCGGGCCGCGGCCCCCGAGCTAACATCACCCAGCTCGGAGGAAGATCTTCGCCTTTGGCCTTCCTACAGTATTATATGAATTACCTTAATTTAATTTTTTGATTAATCGGGACATTTGGCGATCCGATCAGGTACAAATCGGGCGCGGCCCCAGAGCCCTGAAAATCGGGACGTCCCGCGCTAATCGGGACACCTGGCAACGCTAGTCGTGGCCCAATCACCATATTCCATTCACAGGGAAGGCCTGTGCCCCAGGAGTGAAATCATTAATAGGCTGATGATGATGATGATGATGACAGTAAAACTGTGGATAATTTCAAGAAAGAAGAACCAATCTTGCGGCAATACTTCTTTTTGAGGCATTGGATGCAGTCGCTTTTGCTATGGGTTTTTTTTATGTGAAAACGGTAGTAAACAAGCCTGATGGTAAGCGCCCACCATAGTCTATAGACGCTTGCGATTTTTTTTTCGTCAGGAAAATGCGTGACACATACCCCGCCACCTGGGACTGGCTCTACAACCACCCAGGAGGGGGGTCATTCCCACTAAAAACCTGATGACGCCCCTCACCTCACTCGCTCCACGGTCCCAACCAGCGTGGTTGAGACAACGGCACTAGATGAGGCTACGGGAACCCTTACGGAATCTTCCGCGACCTTACCAGTGAGCGTCCGAGTCGAACGGACACACTCCTCTCCCCCCGGAAGAGGGGAGTGTTGGGGATGCCCCGGAGCACGGTTGTCTATCCTGACCTAATCCAATTCTTTCAACACCACCAAAAGGTAGCGTTATTTTACTATAGTCTTCATCACCTTTTCTTCAGAGGACCACGCGCGCTGGCCTACGTTGCCACCGACTTACTGTGGCCACTATTCCTACACGAACAAAGAAATTTGGCGACTCATTTCTTTGTCGTACTATTCGTAAGTGGAATTCTGTGCCCGCGCACGTGTTCCCTCCTTCCTATAATCTGGGGTCCTTTAAGAGAGGCGTGAAGAAGCATTTTTGCGGGCCGGCAAGGTGAGGATGGTTGGTGTAGCAGTTTATAACTGGTGTACCAGCTATCTTCGCGTTTGGACTTTATCAACACTTAACATCAGGTGGGGTAGAGTCATTTGCCTACCTAATTATATATATAAAAAAAAGGTCTTCTGTAAGTTGAAGGTTACTATTTACCCAGATGGGCGCTCCAATTTGAGGCGAATCCGCTCTCTTAAAACATAGTAGGAAACTAAAGATATTTCTAGAAACTTGTCAGTGCAACTGGAAAGGCTTCCTGTAGAAGCCCCTTTTTTCAGTGAGTCGATTGTGAAACCCCCCCTCCAAAAAAAACCCCCGCGAACAATGCAAGTAGTAGGAATCTTTATAAACTAACCTGGTCTCAGGATGAGGTAGGTAGGAGATCTTGATTGTTTAATTGACGGGGCGAAACGTGCCGGCTAGCAATTCCACCTATATTAGCGTAGTCCTTTTGATTCTCCACAAAACATTCACAGGAGTTGATCACAACCACTAAAATCCACAGGCGTAAGCTTCCAGGATATAAATTCACTTTGTGACTAACAAGGTATGGCTCAGGCGGTTAACCGTTCTTTACATAAGCACCAAATCGAAGTGTCTTTTTGGAGTTTACTCCTTAAGAATCGATTTGCATATATAAGGGACCCGGTATGAGAAAAATGTGAGGAGTAAAATCTATCGATGAATGACATTAATGACCTCGTTACGTTTTTGTGCGCAACCTCATCTGCGCACCTTTCACTTTTAACCATGGCAACGGATAAAAAACATTAAGTTGTCACAAATGTCAATAAAATAAATAAACTAAAAATAGATAAAATCATAGCAAAATTAATGAAAATAAATAAATAAATAACAGAATATAGAGAAATTCCGGTAAATGTCCAGCACTCTGGAATAGTGAATTTCAGTACAGATGGAAATATAATAAATATTTACAAAATGATGACTAGTGTGTGATATTTTTGAAATTGTGTGTTTCCAGAAATACATAATAAAATATATGATGAATATCGCTGATGTTAGATGATAAAATTTGTGACATGGAACCTATGATAGTCGAAACCATGGGACGATTCCTGAGGTATCTCTACTTGTAACCGACTTCTTCGGACTTGATTTTGTTTTGTGTCTGTTCAAAGACAATCGTTTTTAGAGTGTAAACTCCGGTTGTGCGTCGGAGCTGACACACACTGTTTTTTTGTTTTCCGGTTGCAGCGCCATCGTCGCGCGCACCATATTTTATTTTTTTTTATAAGAAGGGAGACATGTAGGCAAAGGAATTAATAGTTCACAAGGATTGGCTAATGTTTATACAGCAACAATGGCTGTATAAACTTATGTTACTCACAAGTAGGTGAATGGTCCGACCTCCTCCACCTTCAGTTTTGTATCTGTCCCGGAGAGGAACTCCTGCCCGTTGGTGACGTTGAACAGGTACGCGGATATCGTCACCCCGGGGGAGTCCCGCTGCTCCAGCAACTTATAGATCGCCGAGCCATAGGTCAGCCTCGATCTCTGGAACATGAAAAAGGTTTATTTTATATTGTTTTAAACTATCATGGTCTTGTGGTTTCAGCAATTCAGGAAGTTACTCCGTGATCATGGCGCTGGCACCAGTGCCGAAATATCGGAGAATCACAAAATCAAGGTACTGCGGCGATCCACCCTGAAGGGATAGATCCTGGTTGAAGGGATAGCGCAGTTTTATCAAATGGAAAACAACCTATATGTTTAACTCTTTTATTTTACTAGAAATCAGGCGAATATAATAATTGAGCTTAATCTATCAATATATGGTTTGGTGCCTGAAGTCTATCTTCTGGAACCTTCTATCAAACGACAGAAGATTACCAATTTCAAATCTTTAAAAATCATGACATTACCTTTTTAATATAACTGCCAGCCGTAGGCTTTACATGAACAGAGAGTTTACCCAAACAAGGAGGCTGTAACGCAACGGACGTTACAGTACCTACATGGTAGAAATACCGCTACTAACTGTAAAGGTTTATTTCATGTGAAAAGGGAGGCTATGGCCCACAGAACACAGGGAGAGGTTAGAAGGGTTATCATAGACTGTTCGTACAGGAACCGATGTCACCAGCTCAACCCCACTACACTTCCACCTAGTAGATCATAGCGAATCATACGACGCGACATCAAACAATCGAACCAATCAGCGCTCACATTTCATCTTTCTGTGTTCTGTGCAATGGCTAGGGTTGCCGGATGATGGCTTATCAATTCCGGGACATTTGCCCATTTCCAGTTAAATTTATCGCGACAACTAGTACTAGCATATAAGCTATACCTCTAAAAAAATTATCAAAAACGCTTTAGATAAGAAAAATTATATTGTTAAGCAACCTGAAAACATTTTTTTTTGGAAAATTACATGGAATGCGTCAGCTTTAAACAACGCACAAAACTTAGCGAAAAAGCGACAAAACATCATGCTTCCTTATTTTTTGTCGTATCTATTTCTTTTTCTAGTCCCCAGTCACACTTTCTAACTATTTATAAACTTTGCTAGGTAACATTTTGTTTTGGATGAAAATAATATGTCGTTATTGGTATTTCCAGAAGGTCGTACATACATAATATCAACTCGGAAATGGATCGTCACTCGAATCAACTAAAGTCGTGCAGTATTCTTTGTATAAAACTTCCTACTGGAACACACACTAATCGGAATCGTAAAGTAATCGCTTCGCCTCGGAACACGAGCTTGTCCATTAGGTTAAGGTATAAATATAATTGCAAGCCTTCCTTCTTCTACCCCCTTATCAGTAAAGGAAGAAAAGATAAGCTTGTAGTAATCTCGGACTAGTATAAAGTGCTTCGTATCTGTTTGTCTAATTACAAAATGTTTTTTTTTAATGCATAATAGGCAAGGCGTTTGACTACAATCTCGCCTGATGGAAAGCGATGATGAGGCCTAGGATGGTACACGCCTGCCTAGAAGATGCCTGTTCACTCTGGCCTTGAAGATGTCCAGATTATATTGGTCCGGGAAAACAGACCTCGGCAAGGAGTTCCACTCCCTAGCCGTTCGCATAATGAAAGCAAAAGCAAATCGCTTCGTGCGAATGGGAGGAACTTCGACAACATAGGGGTGAAGGCCCTCGCCGCGCCTGGCTGTCCGGTGGTGGAAAGTCATTTAATCAATCATTTGAGTGATGTTCGGAGACTTGAAAGTGTCTACTATAATAATCATCAAGAACAGAATTTTCCCGCGTGTAAATTATTGTCAGTCAAGATGAGTTCCGTGATGGGGCGTAATGTCTCACACTACGTGTAAAATTTCTTAGTATAATTTAAAACAAAAGGTTAAAGTACCTATGTTAATATTTTTTAAACTTACGTATCGATATAGTATTGTGATGGGGTTCACAATTATCATCACCAGACCCATGAGGATGAGAAACAGACCCACAGAGGCTAAAGTCAACTGTTTTCCTGAAAAAAGAAATGCATATTATTTTATGTTTCACATGCTTTGATATAATGTACATAAGTCGCTATCTTAACATGCAATATAGTTTTATTGAAATGAAGATTTAACAAAATTGCTGTAAGACCCAAAATTATTTGCTAACTATCGATTATCTATATATATATATAAAACTCAAAGGTGACTGACTGACATAGTGATCTATCAACGCACAGCCCAAACCACTGGACGGATCAGGCTGAAATTTGGCATGCAGGTAGATGTTATGATGTAGGCATCCGCTAAGAAAGGATTTTGATCAATTCTAGTCCCAAGGGGATAAAATAGAGAAAGAAAGTTTGTATGAAACTTTGTCAATTTTAAACAGATCGGGCTGAGACTTTGCATGCAGGTATAAGAAGAATGAATGTCATTGTGTATAATACAAGCCTGAGAACAAAAACTGTAGTCTACACTTCAGCTCTACACCGAAGCGAAGCGAGGGCGGGCCGCTAGTTCCAAATAAATGCGTTTAAACGAGCTTTTGAACTATCGTAACGAATTATCTAGCTGCGCGATGGATGATAGACGCTAGAAAATAGCTTGCCTGGCGATTTTTGGCACACTCAAAGAGGTTGTGGAAGATGATAAATTTGTATGTACAGCTGAAGGAGCCTTTTTTTTTTTTTTTTTTTTAATACGCAGGTAAAAAATCTATTTACAGACGACGGCGCCTTTAAGAGGCACACCGCCGAACGGACCTCACACCTGGCTCCCGCAAGTCTTACGAACCCCCCAGTGGCTGCCCACCGAGGACCCCGCAACTCTTACGGGCGCTTTACGGTATAATATCCGCTAAAAAAGTCCTGCGAATACCCTCTAAGCTGCTTAGCGCGAAGCCGCGGGATCCCCGTTTAGGGATTCTCCGCGTCTCCGCACCTACAGCTGAAGGAGCCTACAGGTCGCGGCACTTAACTCTAGCGCTGAACAAACCGCGTTAGAGATAGCTGCGCATGGGCACAGCGGTGACTCTCTCTGTACGTGAGAGTTCCAGCGTCAGTGACCTTGAGCAGGAGCGTGTATGCGCTAGGGTTGAACTTGGAATTTAGACTTGTGCCAATGAATATTTATGCATAGTAAGTTATTAAATGTAAACTGATTCAAGGATACTGGGGTAAATAATGAAGGATAGGTTTGATTTTATAATCAATTTTTAATCTTTTAATGTAGGTACTATAACAAATTGCTAACTATAATTTTTATTATTTTTAAAGCATGTAACTGCTTGATGTTTAAATCTAAAGAAAATATAACTAGAAAAAAAAATCCACGCGGACCAGGCAGCAGACGGGACTCGAACCCGCACCCTTCGCAATCCGGGCGAATGCACTGACCAATTATGCTAGCGCGGCCCTCACGGACCGCGTCGAAATTCTTTCTAGCTATTCTTAAGCTGCAAGGCAGCGCCATCTCTTCGCATTATAGGTAAACCCACAGCTGGCAGCTTAAGAATAGCTAGAAAGAATTTCGACGCGGTCCGTGAGGGCCGCGGTAGCATAATTGGTCAGTGCATTCGCCCGGATTGCGAAGGGTGCGGGTTCGAGTTTCGTCTGCTGCCTGGTCCGCGTGGATTTTTTCTAGTTATATTTTCTTTAAATTGCTAACTTTTATATATTTTCTCCTTTTTCGATTCGTTTTATAATTCTTATTATTATCTAAATAATAATAAGATTGCGTAGCGTAGTCAGTCTATGCGTGCAATGCAGTGCAACGCTATTATTTTACTATTTCGCTACTGCCATGCCTTCGGTCGAGGCAGTCGGCGACTGCCCTCTCCACGCACCGCGCGCCACGCAACGCCCCCGCGCACCTCCAGACATCCACACATAGCCGCGGGTAGGGTTACCAGATGATAAAATCAAAAGTCCGGAGAAAAGGTTTGATTTCCATTGAAAAATCCTGAGATTTTTTACAGTTTGAGAATTTTCTCTCAAACGTACTTAACAATTTAAAAAAGTCGTAATATTGTCGTTTATTCTGTGCTTATACTTTTAAATCAATATAAATTGAAGAGCTTTATATGTGGGCCATTATATGAATCCATAATTAAAGAAAAACCTTACTTAAAAATGTATCTTCAGATATTAAGTATGATAAAACTGATTGAGTACCGACTTGGATAATAAAGTACTGATTTTAATTGTGCGATTATTACCAATAGAAGATTATTTTTAGTTTGTTTAACTTTTTATTAAAAAGATCTTTAAAACGTAAGCTGTATTTTATTGGAAATTCAAAAAATCCTGAGATTTCATGAGATTTGCAAAATCCAGCCGCAATCCTGAGAAGAGTCCAAAAATCCTGAAATCTCAGGACAAATCCTGAGATATGGTAACCCTAGCCGCGGGCGATTTTACGAGCACACATATTTAAGTGTTGCTTCTTTTCGCGTAGTGTATATATTCTGTGGCATGGGTACGACTGGAGAGACAATCGGCGCAACGCATGCCCACGCCACGGTAATATTAATATTACCGTGCCCACCTCGTGTCCCCCAACACATCTTCATTTTTGCTTCTGCTCAATAACGGTCAGCGCTAAAGTTTCGTGCCGCGACTTATACTAATGGTACGCTTATAGAACTGTACCAAAGTTTCATGCAATTTTGCAATTTAAGTTCTATGTTTCATTCAGAATAATTCAAGTTAGTAGGTACTCACGTTTACTAGCCTTCGGTGTCTTTAAATTTTTCGCCATTTTGCCTATCCAGGTCTGAAATACATAATTGCAACTCTTTATTAACTCTTAATTTGATTCTATATATATATATATATATATATATATATATTAATCCTTGTGTTGGTTCCTCAATATAGTTTATATCATATGTGCTGCGGTCCTATTAGCGCACATGTTTCCGTGTCAGCGAAATAGTTTACTTATTTAATAATTTTATTGTATTGTCAGTCGTGTGTATCAAATAATTGTGAGTTCGTATATCAAAAAAATAAACATTCCATAATCGTCAAGGAGATTTTTATTATCAAGTTATCAAGATCTATCATATACGAGTAGGTCGTTCGGCAGCATCACGACACCATCTGACATTATATAAAAAAAAAAAAATTAAAAACTTGTTACTCATACAGTAACATTCATTTTTTTCTTTTTTTTTCTCCATTCAAGTATTACGTAAGCACTATAGGGGGGTCTTTGCTATGCTTATTTTTGATGACATGGGGGGGGGGGGGGGGGGTCGAGATAGTGATTACGTCAGCATCATGGATTCGGGTGACATTGACTAAAGATTGTTATTTGGAATTAATATGTATGATACCAAAAATTCGAAAGAGGTTTGTTTTGTTCGTAATAGTACTTAATAAGATTATATGTACCTTACTCTATTTTGAATACTGTGACCATAAAGTTTGTTTAAATAATAATATAAAATAATAATAAAAATAAATATTCTCAACACTCACACCAATTAGCCTAGCCCCGTACTAAGCACTATAAGGCTTGTGTTATGGGATACTAGGGTAACGGATAGAATACATATACTGTACATATATAAGTATATTTATATAGAAGTACATATTAAACATCCATGACTGGAGTACAAATGCTCGTATTCATCACACAAACATCTGCCCCCACTGGGATTCGAACCCGGGACCTCTCGAGTCGGCGACACCATGAAACCCGGCGTTCAAACCACTCGGCCACGGAGGTCGTCACCTCCGTGGCCGAGTGGTTTGAACGTTTGAAATGAATATTGTGTGCGTTAAAGTCCACTATCCTAAACCTTTTTAAGCACTGCAGCTCATGAATCAATAAAAAAAATGGATGCGTGTAACTTATGTACGCGCGTGAGAAGTTATACTTCTTTAGCATCATTAAAAATATTTTTTAATTGCATGCAAATAATTAATAATGACAATAAAATAATAAAAGGACTGGAAAAGGATAGTTAACACAGTCAATTAAGTTCAGTTTTAATTTGAAAAATTAAATAAATATTCAAAATATTCAATTAAAATCACTACTGAATTTAAGTTATTAGTCCATATGTAATTAGCACTTGTAAGTAACTAAAACTCGTTGTGTCTATATAGAAACTAGAAACATGTGGATAAATTTTATAAATATGAAAACAGTGATCAGAGGCGACGAGCGTGCCAACATTGTTTTTGACAATGCGATCATCTTATGGAGCTCCGTGGATCGTTCAAAGTACCTTTCGAACAGATGTCTAATAATGGTGGACACTAACATTCATAACGCGCCCGCGGCCAACTTCATGGTGTTACTATTGTGTTACAGTGATGCGCGCGCATCTCGAAATTTCACTCACATGATTTATTCATAACGCGCCCGCGGCCAACTTCATGCTGTTACTTTTGGGTTACAGTGATGCGCGCGCATCTAAAAATAACAATAAACGCGCCTAAAGAAGTATAACTTCAATAAAACATTAAAGGAAAAATGCATATAGGTACGAGCTTTGCTTACTTTTGCTGACAAAGGGGAAGAGGGGGTAAATAATTGTAATAAATCGGCTTACGTAATAATTGAACGGCCTCATAGCAGTGTTCTTAAAACGGTTAATTTAATAGAAATTTATTAAGTTTAATTTATCATTTGTAAAAAGGCAGAAGTTAATTTGATAAAATGTTTATATTGTTTGTTAAAGTTATTTTGTCAATAAATAATTGCTACCTAAAGTAATTTTTCTTTCATTTTCGGAATAAACCACACTTATTTACTAATGAGTTAACCTTAATGTTGAATGAAATGTTTTTTTTTTAAATATTAACAATAATTTAAATATTTGGTAATTATTCGGCAAATCCCGAATATGAACATCAAAAAATGGCTTAGCTAGTTTTCATTACATTAGTCATTTTATAAAGTAATATAATATAGTTATAATTTTTATTATTTTTAAAGCATGTAACTGCTTGATGTTTAAATCTAAAGAAAATATAACTAGAAAAAATTCCACGCGGACCAGGCAGCAGACGGGACTCGAACCCGCACCCTTCGCAATCCGGGCGAATGCACTGACCAATTATGCTACCGCGGCCCTCACGGACCGCGTCGAAATTCTTTCTAGCTATTCTTAAGCTGCAAGGCAGCGCCATCTCTTCGCATTATAGGTAAACCCACAATGTCAAATGAATACTTTTACAAGTATTAAACATTTGAAAGAAGAAATAGCAATTATAGTTATAATTTTTATTATTTTTAAAGCATGTAACTGCTTGATGTTTAAATCTAAAGAAAATATAACTAGAAAAAATTCCACGCGGACCAGGCAGCAGACGGGACTCGAACCCGCACCCTTCGCAATCCGGGCGAATGCACTGACCAATTATGCTACCGCGGCCCTCACGGACCGCGTCGAAATTCTTTCTAGCTATTCTTAAGCTGCAAGGCAGCGCCATCTCTTCGCATTATAGGTAAACCCACAATGTCAAATGAATACTTTTACAAGTATTAAACATTTGAAAGAAGAAATAGCAATTATAGTTATAATTTTTATTATTTTTAAAGCATGTAACTGCTTGATGTTTAAATCTAAAGAAAATATAACTAGAAAAAATTCCACGCGGACCAGGCAGCAGACGGGACTCGAACCCGCACCCTTCGCAATCCGGGCGAATGCACTGACCAATTATGCTACCGCGGCCCTCACGGACCGCGTCGAAATTCTTTCTAGCTATTCTTAAGCTGCAAGGCAGCGCCATCTCTTCGCATTATAGGTAAACCCACAATGTCAAATGAATACTTTTACAAGTATTAAACATTTGAAAGAAGAAATAGCAATTATAGTTATAATTTTTATTATTTTTAAAGCATGTAACTGCTTGATGTTTAAATCTAAAGAAAATATAACTAGAAAAAATTCCACGCGGACCAGGCAGCAGACGGGACTCGAACCCGCACCCTTCGCAATCCGGGCGAATGCACTGACCAATTATGCTACCGCGGCCCTCACGGACCGCGTCGAAATTCTTTCTAGCTATTCTTAAGCTGCAAGGCAGCGCCATCTCTTCGCATTATAGGTAAACCCACAATGTCAAATGAATACTTTTACAAGTATTAAACATTTGAAAGAAGAAATAGCAATTATAGTTATAATTTTTATTATTTTTAAAGCATGTAACTGCTTGATGTTTAAATCTAAAGAAAATATAACTAAAAAAAATTCCACGCGGACCAGGCAGCAGACGGGACTCGAACCCGCACCCTTCGCAATCCGGGCGAATGCACTGACCAATTATGCTACCGCGGCCCTCACGGACCGCGTCGAAATTCTTTCTAGCTATTCTTAAGCTGCAAGGCAGCGCCATCTCTTCGCATTATAGGTAAACCCACAATGTCAAATGAATACTTTTACAAGTATTAAACATTTGAAAGAAGAAATAGCAATTATAGTTATAATTTTTATTATTTTTAAAGCATGTAACTGCTTGATGTTTAAATCTAAAGAAAATATAACTAGAAAAAATTCCACGCGGACCAGGCAGCAGACGGGACTCGAACCCGCACCCTTCGCAATCCGGGCGAATGCACTGACCAATTATGCTACCGCGGCCCTCACGTTGTAATATAATATATCTAAATCTGATAAAAACTGGCCAGGTCAAATCTAACATACTTTAAGATCTCATATTTTTAAATAACACCAATAGGGATGACGACTATTTTTTTCCTCGTTTATCAGGTGGATTATCAAAAAGTATTGGACACGTATTTTTTCTTTTTTCACATAATATATACATTGCGCGAGATATATTGATTTGAAAAGTCGCATGACGTCACGTTTTGGTAAAATTTTCACTGAAAAGTGACGTCACGAGCCCCTACTCCCAAACTTTGACGCGCTTTATCTTTGTTATTTTTTGGTTGATAGCCCAAAGAAAAAATACGTGTCCATTATTTTTTGATCATCTAACTGACGGACTCAATAGAATTTCGTTTACTTTATCCCGCTATCATGCCTATTGTTACAGGTATCCAATAAAGCAAAGCAATAGAGTTTAATACTTGTACATAATGTTATCTTGTTTCTAATAATACATACTAGCAAACCAGTGACCTAGACCAGGGTCGATAATTTTAAAAATGGTGAAAAGTGAAAAAAAAAATTATAGTAGGATGAAACCCATTAGAAAAGGTAGAGAATATAATAAAAATGAAAGGAAAAATAAATTACGGGCGATCTGAGGTCGGGAAGGGGGAGGGGGTGAGTTTTTAAGGGTAAAAAATGGTTAATCTCGATTTCCGGTAAAACTGCAAGTCCTATGAAAAAAAGTTAAATGGCAAAGTTGTAAGTAATAAAAAGATCTACAACTTTTGTATCGACACTTTTTTCACATAACCTCAAAATTTATGTGAAAAATGCGAATAACCGAGGTTTTGGTTTTTGATTTTTATTTTTTGCAAAAAAAAATATTTTTTCATGAAATTTGTTGAAAACTTACCTTTGTATGTCCCAAACATACAGTAATTTTTTTCATTTAAAATATTCATTTTTTCACCTTATTTTGACTTAATATCCAAAAAGCACCCTAATTTTCAATCGAAAATTCTCACGCCAAAATATCTGCTTTTTTAAAAAAGTTGGGGTGTTTTTTGTTTGCTGAAATCTCTACTTTCTGATGGTATAAAAAAATATACACTACTATGATAAATGTTCTCAGAAAATGCAAATTAATAATGAAAAAAACTCAAATCCCTTCCCGACCTCAGATCGCCCGTAATTT